CCAATAAGATTTTAGGCTTTTAACAGTTTTTATTCATTATCAGGAAAAGCATAAAAACATAACAAAGCAGACAAACAAGAGAAAAAAAACCCCAAAGGAAATACATTGAAGTCATTATATACCTGTGCAAATACACATATCAGGGGGAGGGAGGTAGAGAAAGAGAGAGAAAAAACAAACAAAGAAAACAAAAAACACGTCTCCTTTACAGTCACTCCATATTTACCTGAGGACATCTTAGAAGCAGCCCCCCCCCTCAACAGTTGGGACAGATCATTTGGCAAATAAAAAAAGCAAAGGGGGCCAAACATTTAGAAACAGATCCTCATTTGGACGGGCTTTATGTTTGCTCGTTGTTTGCTAAAGAGACTTTTCTGCAGCATTTCTCTCCCGACTTCTTTGCAGCACCTTTCACTGTCACACATTTGATCTTTACAGCAGGGCTGTGCCGTATCATATACCATACTATAGAATTTTGACATAGCAGCTATATAATGTTACTCCTACTTTATAGATCTCCATCACCCGATCCTTCGAAAACCTCTTGGAGTTGGCAGCACTCGACTGAGCCATTTTGTGCAGAAGAAGATTAAAATGATGCTTTAAACTCCAGATGTTATCTGAGCTCAGATCCTAAAGCCTAAGTCCAGACCTCTGCATCTTCATTCTTGTGGAAAAGCAGAGCAGATGTTGTTTTCAGGAGGATGCTGCTATGATGGCTTTAGTTCCTTACAGGTAATTATGACGACAGCAGAAGCAGCAGGAACAACAAACAGCCCAAACTAACAGACAAACTTAATGAAAGTCCAACCCAATCTCCTCCTCGTATCCTCCACTATTTGCATCTTCACCTGTGAAACCTGCAGAGCAGAAACAGTGTGTGGACAAAGTTAGCCGGTATGCAGACATGTTTGCTTTTGTTACAGGAGTTTGAAACACATCTGCAGCTCATTCAGAGGCTTTGGGGCCGTACACACTTCATTTTAAATCAGTACAGCCGATCTCACAGCTGCTGGATGTTTCTTTGAATCATAAGAACATTAAGACAAACAAGATGATCATGAAAATCATATTAATGATTGATTTGGCCTGCGTTTGATGCTGAACTGCAGTAGCTCCTGACATTGTGCTTTTATTTCGTCTGGGTTAGTTTGCAGCACTGCTGCACAGTTTACATTAAAGTGCACTTTTGCAGAGCAGACGACCCCCTGCACGACTGACGGGGTGAACCAAGGCCCTGCATCAGACAAAGAAGCATTATTTAAACTGTGAGTCATGCAAAGCAGCTCTAGTAGAGTCCTGTAAATGAACAGACTGGATCCCTGTAACGTACCACCTCAGTGACCAGTGGAAACATTCAAAGGTTCAGGTAGTCATCCTAACTGACGGAGATAGTCTAGGTCGCTGAGAAAGGCGACATTTCTAGCTACGTATTGGGTCTCATTCTTGCCAGCTGTGTTACGATCGTCGAAGCAGCCTCGCGGCTCGGTTCTTACGAGCTCTTTGTGTCTTACACAGTATTTGTTTTGCTAGATATGACGCAAACTTTTGAGTCAGTAGTCTTACTATTCTGCCTGTCCTCAGTTTTTTAACTTTTCCACTGTTTCAGCTGTTTTGTGGGAGAATTGTGTTATAACAATTTCTTATGTTCCGAGGTGAACTATGTGAGCTCCGTGAATTCATTATGCGTATATTCGGGTATCCTCAAAATATAAATAGCTCCACGTTGTATACCTTCCTAATTAAAGATTAGTTCGAAAGTTAATTTATAATGGATTTATGTATTATAGCACCTTGGCATGTGATTATATATTATCTTATGCCACGTTGTACCCCTAATTAAAGATTGTGAAATTATTATGTAGTTTTAGTTTGCATTATTCTCCAGACTTAGAAGAAGGTGATAACTATTAGATTTATCAGACTGATTTGTATTACATCAGACTGCTGATTTATGGTGAATGAATGATATTGTGTTATGATGCATGATACTGCTGAGTTATAAGAAATACTGTTTTCAGAGAATCAAGGCCTTATTTGTCTGGTTAGAAAAGAACAGAACAGACTGCACAGGAAGCCGAGGTCATGACTCAGGCTCACTGAGAGAAAGAATGTGGATGTTTAGCTTGGAGGGGCTGAAGCTATAAGAATGTGAGAAACGCTCAGACACTTGGAGATCAGGCGGACACCCTCCCGCGCTCATCTCCCCATCCGGATGGTTTATGGTCAAAGTGTTTTATGGAATAAAGAGATTGTTGTTGGAGCATTTATACACCGAGTGTTGTTCTTCCTTCAGCCCAAAGATCAAAGAAGTGGAATATTTAACATGAGAAAATCAAGAGGATTTTTTGCATTTTCTGTATATTTTGCAGTAACA